GGTCTGTCACTTTGATCAGCACGCAACCTCTTGCTCCTATGAGGCTCAGTCTCGGGAGGTTCCTTAGCCACCAGAGTCTCGACTTCCGTGACCTGAGCTGTAGAACGGGGAACCACCTCCTGAGCTACCTCTGTCTCCATGACATCAGCGTCCTTAGCTGGAACCGATACCCCATCGTCAAGGACCTCCTTTACAGAGCTAAGGAAGGAGCCTCCTTGATTCTTCTCGCTTCCTCGCGAGGTACAGGCAGCTTTCGAAGGCCTACCCCTAGCTCGGAATGACGGTTGGAGAGGCATCTTTTCTGATTTGGTTTTCTCGGTTCCCGAGGTGCTAGCTTCAGTTGAAATCGATACTACGGAGTTACCTTCGGAAACTGCATTACCAAATTCACTTTAGCACTCAGCAACCCTAAAACAAACTAGTATATGTCAAAGACATAAGAGCAAACGTATTACCTTCTAAATCTGTAACCGGTACGGGATCTAAGAAGGAAGCGTGGTAACAGTCTGGAAACCTGGCTGATCCAATTCGCGAAGTGGTGTACGATGCCCAAGTACAGGGAGTCTGCTGCAGCTTTCGGAAGAGAGCTCTAGTAAGCTTGTTCGGGAGCTCGGCAGGGTCTTCAATATCTGCAAAAACAAACAAATATCCATTAAACTATAACCAATGAGAAATCAACCAACTCGTTCCTAACAAATCCTAACCAGACGCGTCAGACCACGAAGCTCTAAGTGTACGACCCGCCGGAACCGTCAAAGGATCGATTTTGACGTAGAAGTACTTCCTTCTCCAGTCATCATCACTACTGGAAAATTTGAAAATACCCAGCCGGGGACGACAAGCGAGGTAGTAAGTCCCGCTACCACCATCTTTGGAAGCACTCTCCTTTATCGAAAATAGGCTCATTAGAGAACTTGACCCAGTGGCAACACCCTCCTCTTTGGACCTGGTGATAAAACCGTTTATCACTCGAATGACGGAGGGGCAAAGCTGGGAAAGGGCTAGCCGATAATGATCTAAGAGATCTAACAGTAGGTCAGGAAGGGGAAACCTAAGATGGCTCTTGGAAATGTAGTTCTCATGAACGCAAAACCAACCCTCCGGAGCCATCTCGGG